TTCAAGAGTCTTGCAAGACCGATAATAATATTTTTATTCAAAAAAAATTTAAAACCAGTGTTTTTTTATCATATAAAACACATTTAGGATGTGGCAGCATATATATTTTTTAAAAATGTTGTTTTTTGGGACACCCTAGTATGTACTAATGCTCTCACAGGTTTTTATTTTAGTATGATGTCATATTGCTTAGCTAAGTACACAAAAATATGCGTGCATGTGTGTGAATTAAGTGAAATTGCAATATCTGGAAATGCTTCTAGTCTTTAAATTTTTAGTTTTTTAAAAACAATAAGCAATGTTTTTAATGCAAAATTCAATTGTTGCTATTCAATAAAAATTATTTGTGCATTGATCTTGAAATTATGATAAATATTCTCATTATAAAACTATATTTTATTATTGTTAGGGTTAGGACTATTGTAATTGTAATGAAAACAATAACAGTAACAACTATTGTTATTGTATTAACTTAATTTAGAAACAATAACAATACTTGTGATTTATAACTATTGTTATACTGTAATACAATAACAATAAATATTGTATTGCAATTCATCTTTATAAAACAATAACAATATCTGAAAAAAAATGTATTGTAATGACCCACCACAAGAACAATATTGTATTGTAATTTGTGTTTATAATACAATAACAATATATTGTTATTGTAATAAAAAAAAAATTATTTTAGTATCAAAATTAAATAATTGTTTTAACAGTCTCCGAGATAAGTGACCTTGAAATAGGGTACAACTAATATATAAGTATTGATTCTGTTTCTTTTTTATTTACTAAATATCACTTGTCCTCATTGCAAACTTTATATAGCTCTATAAAAGTAAGTTTAATCGGGCCTGTATTTCTTTTACTGCTGGGAATAGACATGAATAATTACTACCATTTCTTTGACTAAGTTATTTGCTTTTACATTAGGCACCTATCCACTTGTTTCAAAACTTAATCAACTCACACTTAATCTAATATAACTTTGTCTTTGTTTCCCTTCGGCTTTATGGCTGTATGTGTTTCATAAAGTAACTTGACATCTAGTTGCATAACTTGACATCTAGTTGCATAACTTGACATCTAGTTGCATAACTTGACATCTAGTTGCATAACTTGACAACTAGTTGCATAACTTGACATCTAGTTGCATAACTTGACATCTAGTTGCATAACTTGACATCTAGTTGCATAACTTGACATCTAGTTGCATAACTTGACATCTAGTTGCATAACTTGACAACTAGTTGCATAACTTGACATCTAGTTGCATAACTTGACATCTAGTTGCATAACTTGACATCTAGTTGCATAACTTGACATCTAGTTGCATAACTTGACATCTAGTTGCATAACTTGACATCTAGTTGCATAACTTGACATCTAGTTGCATAACTTGACATCTAGTTGCATAACTTGACATCTAGTTGCATAACTTGACATCTAGTTGCATAACTTGACATCTAGTTGCATAACTTGACATCTAGTTGCATAACTTGACATCTAGTTGCATAACTTGACATCTAGTTGCAAAGCTGTAAAAGAGTTTTGTTACATAAATCAACAACAATATTTATTTGGTGTTCTAAACTGCCTTATTTTTCAAAAATGATCCACACAAAATTTACTGGTACGATCTGATAGGTGATGAACAATCTGAAAATGTAGAAAACTTTTTAACAAAACAAAAGTAGTTCACATTTTTAGACAATCTAATCAACAATTACCCAGGTCAATGGTTCTCTGATTCCATAACAATGTAATTGATGACACATTAGCGGTTAGATATATTGAAAAAAAAATTATTTTCACACGCTTAATGTAGTTAACCAATTAGTTTAGACAACATCATCCGGTGAAGTATGTCAATATCAGTTTAGACAAAATTATAAAAAAATAAATAATTTCACTTCTTAAAGTAAATAATTATTTAATTACAAGCATATGACAAATTATATAATTGTATGATTTTGAATGAATATTATTAATGTTAATTCCAAATAAACTATTTTTTAAACAGTTATATTATTGAACTCAAAATAAATAAAATTTATATATGTAAATGGTTGCTAGAAACGGGTGCCACGTGCGCCCCTGAACCTAATATTTATTAAGTATACATAATATATATACTTCTTCGGTTTTCCTGGCTTCATTTCACTTCTCAAAATAAATAAAATTTATATATATAAATGACTGCTGAAAATGAGCGTTACAGACACCGCTAAATTATCTAGTGCCCAAATAATAATAAATGCGTAAAAAAAGAATCTAAATAATATAAAATACAATAGCTATTAGACTTTGAAATAGTAATACAATACATCACAGTACTTATTGTAATTATTTTTTATCCCAGCAATACAATACAATAGTTATTGTAATTGTTTTACATCACAGCAATACAATACAATAGTTATTGTAATTGTTTTACATCACAGCAATACAATACAATAGTTATTGTAATTGTTTTACATCACAGCAATACAATACAATAGTTATTGTAATTGTTTTGCATCACAGCAATACAATACAATAGTTATTGTAATTGTTTTACATCACAGCAATACAATACAATAGTTATTGTAATTGTTTTGCATCACAGCAATACAATACAATAGTTATTGTAATTGTTTTACATCACAGCAATACAATACAATAGTTATTGTAATTGTTTTACATCACAGCAATACAATACAATAGTTATTGTAATTGTCTTAAATCACAGCAATACAATACAATAGTTATTGTAATTGTCTTAAATCACAGCAATACAATACAATAGTTATTGTAATTGTTTTACATCACAGCAATACAATACAATAGTTATTGTAATTGTTTTGCATCACAGCAATACAATACAATAGTTATTGTAATTGTTTTACATCACAGCAATACAATACAATAGTTATTGTAATTGTTTTACATCACAGCAATACAATACAATAGTTATTGTAATTGTTTTGCATCACAGCAATACAATACAATAGTTATTGTAATTGTTTTACATCACAGCAATACAATACAATAGTTATTGTAATTGTTTTACATCACAGCAATACAATACAATAGTTATTGTAATTGTCTTAAATCACAGCAATACAATACAATAGTTATTGTAATTGTCTTAAATCACAGCAATACAATACAATAGTTATTGTAATTGTTTTACATCACAGCAATACAATACAATAGTTATTGTAATTGTTTTGCATCACAGCAATACAATACAATAGTTATTGTAATTGTTTTGCATCACAGCAATACAATACAATAGTTATTGTAATTGTTTTACATCACAGCAATTCAATACAATAGTTTTAGAGCTTCAATGTATTGTTAGAAAAAAAACACAATATAATACATATTGTAACTGTTTTTATTCACAGCAATACAATACAATAGTTATTGTAATTGTCTTAAATCACAGCAATACAATACAATAGTTATTGTAATTGTTTTACATCACAGCAATACAATACAATAGTTATTGTAATTGTTTTACATCACAGCAATACAATACAATAGTTATTGTAATTGTCTTAAATCACAGCAATACAATACAATAGTTATTGTAATTGTTTTGCATCACAGCAATACAATACAATAGTTATTGTAATTGTTTTACATCACAGCAATACAATACAATAGTTATTGTAATTGTTTTACATCACAGCAATACAATACAATAGTTATTGTAATTGTTTTACATCACAGCAATACAATACAATAGTTATTGTAATTGTTTTACATCACAGCAATACAATACAATAGTTATTGTAATTGTTTTGCATCACAGCAATACAATACAATAGTTATTGTAATTGTTTTGCATCACAGCAATACAATACAATAGTTATTGTAATTGTTTTACATCACAGCAATTCAATACAATAGTTTTAGAGCTTCAATGTATTGTTAGAAAAAAACACAATATAATACATATTGTAACTGTTTTTATTCACAGCAATACAATAACCATAAATAATGTTTTAATTGCATCTCCGGTATTACAATACATTTTATTGTATTGAAATTGTAATTGTATTTAATTTTTACAATAAAAATAACAATAGTCCTAACCCTAATTGTTATTATTGTTATTAATAATTATGATTTGAACTTCATTATTTTAATTCATTTGGAAAATCATCAGGTAAAACTAGAAAAATAAAACATACAGTACCATATAATATTAAAAATTGAACAACCACTAATCACAACAATCTAATGGAATTTAGTGATGATCAAATATTTTTAATTTCCTGACTACTTATTTAAATCTCATTTAATACTATTTCAAATCAAAAATTTAACATTTTCTTATAAATCCGATACAACCTATAATACTTGTAACTCACTAGCACAGATATTTAATTTAACCAAATCAGATTATAATATTTTGTACAATGAGCAAATAGCTTTAGTATGATTTTGACTCGATTTTAAGATTCTCGCACATAATTATTGGACCTTTAGTGATTATTACTTCAACTTTGTTTTTTATTTATAATACGTAAATTAACAAATGTTTAAACAAACAATAAATTAAATTATGTTATTTTTGACTGTTATCATTTTTGCAGTCATAAATTTATTGTTTTGTTTTTCCATATTTTTCCAATATGATAAACTGATCCTTTCATTAAAACAGTGTTCACAGCCTTTAATGGGTATTATAAAACTGAGAATTTGAAGACCAGAAACATTTTCAAGACATTGCAATTTGCGATTACATTAATTGCCCCTTTGTTGTGTGTGTGTGTATACATACATGTATGTATTATATATCAAAAAAAAATATTTTCAGCAGAAAATTTTTTAAGAATGCACACACTTTTGTACACAAATTGTTTGTGCTCTGTTTTCATAGTCACACAACAGCAAATATTACTTTCTTAAATCTATTTTTTAACTTCTTCAATTTTTAAATTACTTTTTTATCTCTCACACATAAACGAGAATAAAAAATAATAAAGATAACTGATTTTTACCATTTAAGAGCACTTGATGTCACACAGGAAGCCAATACCAAATTATCACAAAGGTGACCAGCAACTACCAAGCATAACAAGCATTCACAACATTGGCGGCTGATATATTCATTCATATTGCCAACATTTTTTAACAAATAAACAATACTTGCACAATCCTTAAAATAATAACTTTTTAATGGGCAACATTAACAATTCCCAAAAAAAGGAAAATCATAAATTATAGATTTAATTTATTTTTTAAATTAGCTTACACTAAATTTATTTATACACCTAGTATAAATATATAAAAAAAATAACAATTAATAAACAAGCTTACTGATGAGTTAGCAGAAGTTATCTTTCCATTCTTTTTAAAGTAATCTTCTGCTTTTATATATAGTTGCGTTATAGCCTAAAATGTATGCATATACAATTCTACAATTCTTCAAAATAGATTTTAAAAAACCTTAATGTGGCGCTTTTAAATAAATAGCAAAGCTTAAGTCAATTACTGTTCAAAGACAATACCAACTTGAGAAGAAAAAAGAAAAAATAATCTTAAAAAAAGTTGTTTTTTTCAGTTTACTTGATTATCAATAGCTTTGATTATTAAATTTTATTTTTCAAAGATTGAGCAAAAACTTCGTTTTAATAAAGATTACAAAACAGATGTAGGATGATTTAATTTTTAACAGCAATCCCTTATTATTATTTACTTTGCTTCAGGACGTCAGCACAATTTACCCAAAAACATTTTTATAAATTGCTAGACTTTATAAAAATTGTTAGGTGTCGCTGTTTTCTAATAGGAAAACATTATGCTAGACTTTGTCAAGCATTATTATTATGCTGAGAGCCCATTTTTGATGTATAAATAAACTATGAGATATTAATATTATTAATATAGAAGTAGAACAAGCAAAAAATTGATTACCATAAAGTTGTCAGATTTAAGGTGAGGCAGATAATAATTGTAATATAAAGTATTATCAACACTAATGCAACCACTATGCTGCAGATTTGTATGAAACAGCATGAATTACTCTGTTACTTGTATAACATAAAAAACCATCGCCAAACTAATATTCATAGTCATAATATAACTAATATTCATAGTCTGCAAAGCAACCTTCCATCAGCTGAATCTTACCTCTTGTAAAATTTACCAGACTTGCTTGCTCTTAGTGAGACTATTTTAAATTCTGCTATTCCTTCTTCTGATCTCAATGTTGATGGGTACTGTCCTTTGATTCGCAAAGACTTAAATAGTCACATGCTTGGTATAGGGGTATACATACACATCAATTCACCTATTTGTCGTGAAATCAGGTTTGAATCTTTTGACCATTCCTTTATGTGCTTCCGCTTAGCACCTCTTCATTCTATCACCATTCTCTTTGATCTTTATTGTTCTCTTTCTTCCCAAGACTGCGCTCTTTTAGATATAATTTCTGATCAAATTGACCATGCTCTCTCTTTACCCCTCAGCCAATATTGTTGTTATTGGTGACTTTAATGCTCATCACACTGAATGGCTTGGCTCTAACGCCACTGACGCTGCTAGCACTAAAGCCTATATTTATGCATTTTTCAATCTCTTACTCATATAGTTAACTTTGTAACTCATTTTCCTGACAACCCTAATCATTTACCTTGACTCCTTGATTTATGTCTTGTCTCTGATCCTAGCTTGTGTTAAGTTTCTCTTTTTCTCCTTTAGGTGGTTTTGACAATGCAATGATCTCTTTAAATCTTTTATCTCATACTTCTTTTTTGGACTCACTCTATCATCACACTACTTCTACTACCCTAAAGCTGACTAGGATTCTTTTTGTGATTTTCTATGAGTCATTGGGCTGATGCCTTTTCCCTCTCAGCAAAAAAAGGCACCTCCAACATAACCTCCTGGATTCAAGCAGGAGTGGAAACTTTTATTACTTCAAGTCAAGCCTCTACTCTATGGTTTTCATCCTCTTAAGCAGCTGCTATATCTAATTGTAATCATTTTTTTCATCTTTTTCAAAAGAACAACTCTCTTGAGAACAAACAGCTATTTATTATTGCAAGAGTTCAATGTAAAAAGGTGCTGTCAGATGCAAAGCTCCATTATTCTCAGTTCACTAAATCTCATACCTTGTCTCAAAAATTAGGCTCTAGAGGGTTTTTGAAAATCTTTAACAGCGTCGTTAACAAAGGTAGGTCCAACATTCTATCTCTCATTCATGGGACTGATTTTACTACCTCTCCTAGGGATAAGACAGAACTATTTGATTTTACTACCTCTTGTAGGGATAAGACAGAACTATTTTGAACCAATAGAATTTGCTTATTCGTAGATTTGGCGGTATTTTAGTGTTAGCAAATATTCTTTATATTATCTTTACGCAACATGTTGTTTTGAGAACATTCAAGTTAATTTATGTTTCCATCTATGTCTGCATAACAATAAGTTTTTAAAAACATGTTAAAAAAAATTTATTTCATAATATCTCATTTTTCCAAATCAAATGTTTTTATATGAGAGAATGATTTTATAACATCCGCTGATATTAAAACATTTAAACTATACTTGTACATTATTCCTACCTTTTTTAATTATATAATTAAAAAGGTATAATATAATATAAAAAATATATATATATATCTTTTTCCATGTTTTGCTATAAATATATAATATAGGACTGTATTCACTAACTGTCTTGAAAATGTACACTTTGACATTAATTTTTGAAAAATTAGTTTAAAACGCTACGTTCGTTAAAATTTAGAAGATTCTGTATTCAGAAAGCGTCACAAATTTACCGAATAGTCAGTTAACCGCAAATTGATGAGAACTGTTATCTGGTTTTTGAAACAGATAACCGGCGAAATCACTAGTTGCTTGCAGCCTTATTGGAAGTGAATCAGAATTAGAAAAAAATTCTTCTTTTTATCTCCCATTAAACAAGATGCTTTGTAGTGACTATAGTCTCCTTTAAAATATGCATTTTTTTTTATATTGATATTTTAACTTTAAAGAGTTAGCAAGTAGCCTCTAAGTAGCCTCTTGTTGTAAGAGCTTGTTGTTATAACTTATTGCAAAAAATTAAAGTTAATTGCTGTAGTTATGCAAATTAGTTATGCAATATTTAATATTTGCTTATTATGAAAATGTATACAAATTGTAAAATAAAATATAATCACACAGAGTGTAAAAAGTAAATATAGCTGCCAGGATTACAAAGTATTTTTGTATTATAACATCTATGGCAAAAATGATTAGAAAACCTGATCTGGTGATATGGCATTATGCTTAAGTTAAACTGGCCAAAGAACTGCAAAAGATAGGAATCACTCTATATTTGATACTCTGATAATTTCATTGTTTCTCAAAGGAAATGCATTTGCCTTCAAATAAAGTCATGATTAATCAAAAAAACTGTGCTGATTGAAAATTAGTAACCCTGTAGGAGGGAAACAGGATGCTGAAGGGATTCACAATCAAGCAATGTTGTGGTATGCAGGGGTTATTCTAAACTGTTTTCGACAGCGTCGCTTGTATTTTATATATTAGGCATTTTAAGAGTTTACCACAAAACAAAGCTAAATATAACTACAGAAAAAAAACTGATACTAAAAACAAAGATGAAATAGAATATTTCAAATAAATAAATCAGAAAAACTTTTAAATTAAAAAAAAGAAATATTTTTTTTCAAAAAAAAAAAACTATTATTATTTTACTGTTTTTTTTTTTCTTTTTTCTTAGGGTGGTTGTTATTTTCCACTTAGAAAATTAATAAAAGTTGAGGGGAAAAACAGATAAGAACAAAAATAAAAAACACTTTTTGATATGCTATTTATTCACAACTTTTATCAGCGTGAATATTAAGGATATACTTTACATAACATCTAATTATGCTAGATACATGAAAAAATTTTAATTTTTTCTTTTTTTAAAATTTCGCTTAACTTAACGCTTTTTATCAAAATATAGGAAAGCAAGAAAAGTAATTAATATTTATTTATAAAATATGGTTTTTTATTTTTAAATATGATTTTAATCTGAAGTTTTAAAATGTCTTTAATGTTTAAATATCAGTTTGCACTTTTGTTTTATTCTCCAAATTGTGCTTGTGAACCCTATTTTATTTTTTGATGAATTGTTGATGAAGTTCCAAAGATTTGTAGGTTGGTATATCATTAATTTGCCAAACTTTGTACCAAATTTTTTAGGAGCCTTTTAAAAAATATATTTTTAAGTTTTTACAGACATTAATACAGAAAAAATACAGGGGTTCTTAAGAAAATTAACAAACTATGCCTCCTTATGCAAAATTGGTACTTTTTTCAGGGTGTTAGCCTGCCTGATGGCACCGCATATAATACGGAATTTCCAATTGATTCAAAATTTTGAAAGACTCAAAAAATCATAGTAAAAATAAAATTAAAAAAAAAAAAATATCAGGCTCAGATTTGCTGGTGTTATGCTAGACACATAGAAAACGTAATTAGTATGCACAAAAAAGAAATTAAGTTAATCAAGAAAATTGTTTTTTTTATTTTAATGTGAAAAAAAGTGTTGTAATTATCAAATAAAACCATTCATTCAAAAGTTAAAAAAAAAGTTTTTTCATCAGTTTATCTCTAGTTTAGATTTTTTAATGTTTAATAATTTGTTTTTATTTATTTTTGTTATTCAAAAATTCTTTATTTACATTTTTACTGATTATCTTTAGTTAGGAAAGTTGCAAAAATCTTTGCATATTAACGAATAATAATTATTATACTTAAAAATAAGTTATTGATGTTTTTTTATTAAGGAAATAAAAAAAATTTTGGTAAACTAAATTTGCAGGTAAAATACACTGAAAATAACAACAAAAAAATCAAAAATATAACTTGCAACGAAATATATTATTTATACAGCCCTCAGAATTAGGGTCGGCTTTTGGCAATGCCGATCTAACTGCTAACCTAAAAGTGTTAGGAGTTGGCAAAAAAATGGCCAACCTCGTTATTTATGTTTTATGGTAAAACATCAAATTTTTTTCGCCAACCTCTAACAGATTAAAGTTGGCAAATTATTGCTGACCTTATTTTTCCTAACTTGGAGGGCTGTTTATATTATATTTGTGTAAAACATAAAAGAGGATAATTAAATTTACATAAATTTTTATAATTTTATTTTACTTTAATTTATTTACAAATGCAAAAATTTTTTAATATACAAATAAAAAAATTTACTAGATATTTAAATTTGCAACTTAAAAATGCCCTTGTATGGTGAGGGCAGCATGTCTTTAATTTAAATACCTTTGTTGCTTATTTAAATTAATTTTAGAAAAGCATATTGCAACGAAGGTTCTTTTAATTAACATTCTATTAGACCACAATTGACAAAACAAGCATGTTTCTTATTTATCAAATATGTTATTTATTTAAAGTGGAAAGCAAAAATATAAGTTGATATCTGTTTGTAAAATATATTTTTTTATTTTTAATGTAACAAGTATATATTATCCCTATATGAAAATGTCTATTTAATGCATGCATATAGTTTTATGTATAACTTCAAACCCCGGACATACCGTATATGAAGTTAACGTCTTATCTAAATAAACTAATTGTTCATAAACTTATGCACAAATAAATATAATCATATAATAAAAAAAGTATATATAATATAATAAAAAAAATTTTACATAAAAATATACGCATGCATTACATAGACATTTTCATATAGGGACAATATATACTTATAACATTAAAATTATATAAATATATTTACAAACAGATAGCAATTTATATTTTTGCTTTCCTCATTCAAAAAAAAAAAAAAAAGAATAAAATATAGGAAAATCATTGTTTTCAATGTTGACTTAAAACTGTTTTTTTTTTTTGCTTTGCCTTATAAAAATTTGTTGTAAAAATTTTGCTTTACTCTAAAGAAACCAAAAATAAAATTAGTACACAAACTATTATTATTAATTATTATTACTATTTTTTTATTTATTGCTCTTTATTTAAATATAATAAATATTATTTTAATTTCCTATTTTGTTAGCTCTGCTTTGTTTGTTTTTATAACTGAAAAATTGTTTTTTTTGCACAAGGCTTAATATAAAAAAACTTGCAAACAACCGTGACCAAGTTGTCTAAAATACTCATGTGTGGACATACAAGACAAAAACTTGCACACGTTTCCTGGGAAGACTTGCTTGGCAAATTCACTTTAGGGAAGTTAAAGTCAACAACAATAATAATCTGAGACACAGAGAAGCAACATTTGTTATTGTATAAAAAGTTGGACGATAGCAACTTATTAGACTTATTTATTATTAGCAAGTTATTAATTTTAATACAGTCATTGTGATAAATTAAGTAATCTTTTGGATATAAAACAGCGTTATAAAGTTTATTATTAAAAAATGTCTCACAAATGACAAAATACAACAGGTTTTGTTGATGAAGTTCATAATTTTCCTTTTCACTATCATATTCCATATTCATATCACAAGATGATTCATGATAAATATTCATATCAGAGACAGTTCCATAATTTTTTTCTTTAGTCTCTGTTTGCTCAGTCACTATCTGTTTGCTCCTCAAATGTATAAATATCACTGAAGATATTTTTAGGGGCTTTTTTGATGGTAAAATTAAAACTAAATTTTGAGCTGTTATATCATTAGACAAGGGTAGCAGTTCTTTGTTTATATATTCTACATTACTTTCAGAATCACTAGTCACCAAGATCAATATTGACATCTCCAATATTTATCTTATCTATCACATCTTTAACATATTTTGACTTTTATCAACACTGCATTTGTGCCATATATGATAATATTTTTAGTATTTCCTATGGGGCTATGTATACTTTTATAATATTTAAAAACATTGTTATCTTAAATTATTTCCTCCATCTAGAGGGATTACAGAACATTAACAGGGTAAAGACCCAGTAACCAGTCGCAAACCATATTTTTGATAGAGACAGTAGGAAATTTGAAATATTGGAAATGAAGTTTGTAGGATATATGAAGTTAAAAAATTCAAAAGGTATTTTATTTGGAAATGGTGAAATCAATGAAGACAAAAATGAAATAGCATTTGTTGAGCTTATACAGTTTTTGGGATGTAAGATCCAGTGCTTTAATTATGAGAGACACTAAAAACAGAGGAAAAGAAGCCTTTAAAATCCTAAAAGATCATTACATTGGTACAAGTAAACTTCAAATTATAACATTATATAACAAATTAACAAGTTTTTAAAAGTTTATTAACAAGTCTACAACAGATTGCATTATTAGAGCAGAAATTTCACCCACATAGTAATAATGATGAACATTTCACTTATATATCGATAAGACTTTTAACTCTGAAGAGCACTTTATAAAATTAGCTGATGGCACAAGGACAAATGATAACGTTAAAAAAAGAGGTATAGTTATAACTGGTAATTGTCACTCTTGAAAATACTCTATATATACCAACTTATTCACAGTGTATTTTTTCTGTACAAACAGCTTAAGGTGCCAGAGTAAATATGGTTGTTATTACTACTTTTACAAAAATTTAATTAAAGAAACACAAACTGAAAGTTTGGAAACATGGCACAAAATATTGGGACATTGTAATACCAATGATATTATAAAATTAGGTGGCTTAAGGAATGAAAATTAACAATATTACTAAATTTAATTGTGAAACATGATTCTATTTAAAAATGTAAACATTTGTAACCAACAACCTGATACTAAGGCAACCTACCAATTCCAACTTGTACATTCTGATTTAGCTGGACCTATAGAACCTTTAGCTATAGGTGGATTTAAGTATGTTATAAATTTTGTTGATAATTATTCATGTTGTTTGTTTACATATTTTTTACAACAAAAAAGTGATTTTGCAAAAGTTGCTGAGAAACTATAGCAAATATTTCTCCATTTTAAAAGTTTAGTTTTTATAACAATATTTCCTCATTAGGTAATGTACAATGTATTTGCAGTGATGGTGGAGGTGAGTATTTATTGAAAGAATTTAAAGAACTACTTCTAAAACATACCATTAAACATGAATTTACATCACCTCATTCCCTAGACCAGAATGGAACCACAGAAAGGAGTTGGTGTTCACTATTTGACAATGCAAGAGTCATAATTACAAAATTAAAACTTTCAAAACATTTATAGACTTATACAGTTAGCACTGCAACATAAATAAGAAATCAATGCTTTGTGCAACAAACTAAAGGTACACCACATGGATTAGTAACTGGTTTAAAGCCCAACATTTAGGGACTACACTTATTTGAACCAGTATGTTACTCATTTGTGTATAATGCCAAAAAGGTTACAACCACAAAGCATTAAAGGTTATTTTGTTAGAGATGATAAAGACAAACCATTATACACATAAATTACTATCCAGAACTTAATTTAGTCCTAAAATATATAATTGTAAAATTTACAGAAAAATGTGAATCTGTAATAGATGCTTAAAATACAGATGATCTTATAAAAGTTGAAGCAAAAGCTACAGAGCCTACACCTAAACCATCCACTCTTAATAATGAACAAAATATACCTCAAGAAACTCTTCATGTTACAATCAAAGACAAATGGTAATAAAGACAAAATTAATTATATAGATTATTGTTATTTAATGTCATACAATAACACTATTATAATATGAGCTCATTTTATATCAAATGGATGTTAAAAGTGTTTATCTACATGCACCTATAGAACAAGAAACTTATGTCAACTAACTTCCTGGTTATGAAAAAATCCACAACAACAAACAGTTTGTATAGAAATTAAATAACTCACTTTATCGTTTAAAGTAAAGTGGCAGAAATTGGCATAATGTTTTATGGCATTGGTGAATAATAACGTAAATTGGCATAAGTGACTTTCTCAAATAATATATAAATCAAGTTTTAAGTGACTTTCTCAAATAATATATATACATCAAATACATAAATACAATTTGCTTAATCAAATTCAGATACTTGTGTTTTTGTTAAAAGAATCAACAGAATAAATAACAATACAATAAAATAGCAATTATCCTAGTATGAGTTGATGATATTATTATAGCTGCCAAATGAACTATTAATAAAAATTAAGAAGAAATTAAGTAGATGATTTAAAATAAAAGAATTAGGACCATTGACTTGGTATTCAATTTCAACATGACTAGTAATTGTGTAACAATGAATCTATCACATTACTTGCAGAATGTTCTACAAATTGGAAGTCTCTTTAGGTAACAACAAGTACGAGACCAGATTTATTTTATATGTTGTTACCAAATTATCTCGGCATTTATCAAAACCAAATAGTGGTGATTTGATTATGATTAAGGATGTATTTTGGTATATTAGGCATACTGTAAATTATTGTTGAACTTTTTAAAAGGTTAATGAGTTAATGTTTTTTGCTTTAATGTGGATTAAGCTTTATCTTTAGAAGATTTACATAGTATATCAGGTTACTGTTTTTTTTTGTGTAAAGATGGACCAGTCGTAAGTTGGAAATCAAGAAGCAATCAAGTGTTGCGCTGTCCACCTGTGAAGCAGAATATATGTCGATAATTTCAGCCTGCAAAGAAACTAGTTATTAAAACTAGTAAGAAAATTATTATTAATAAATTTTAAACTTGTGACTCTTAGAAACGACAATCAAGGAGCCATTGCATAGGTCAAAATTCCTATAAAACATATATACATAGGTTATCATTTTGTACAGGATTTTTATCAACAAGGTAATATGCTATTAGAGTATATACTATCAAACAACAACTACGCTGATGTTTTTACAAAGCCAACAAAGAAAAATGCAAAAGTTTAAGGAATTCTTTTTTGGACCTTAAAATGATATGCTGTCAAGTTGGGGTGCTGAGTTTAATGACAACATCTTTATTATATGTTGACTTCTATTAGCACCGTACTTATGTGCCTATATAATTTATATTTAAAAAAATAAAACCTAAATACCTAAAGTATAACCTAAATACCTGTTTCTGAATGGT